GGTCATATGTCGGAAGTAGGTATGAATCAAGACTGTCATGATTGGTTGTAGAGGTCTACGGTGTTGGACAAGACTACAACAATCATGAGTGCTCATGAGTTCTGAGCATTGGACTCAACCCACGCTCACTGGAATCACTTCATGGAATTCTATCTCGAGTGATCGTGAGACGGTAATATCATATAAGTCTTCAAACCTAGAGATATGATTTGTTACTTACAAGTTGGTTATGCATTGATTGTACGAAAACGCATTGGTAACTCGATGTTATAAAACGTGCTTTTGTGTATAATTCAATAAGTGGTAGAACAAACATATTAGTCGAAGTTTATCTGTTCCTTCTTGGATTAGAAGTTGATATCTGGGCCCCTCGATGATTTTGTTTTGACCTATGTACCGGGCCCGGTCAGAACTAAGTTGATGTGTTCAATTAAGTTCTTTGTCAAACAAATCGGAAATCGGGAAACAAACTACTGGACAATAAGCAAGACATTGTTCCATGTATTTGTCCGGCTGATATCTAGTACATAGGATTATATGACCCCTTATCTTAAATGGCGTACCATCATCTTCTCAGTTCCGAGAAACCTTGAAAAGAGCTACGATTGCCGATCGGTTCCTGAAGTCATACTTGCAGTAATAGTTATTAGACTTATCCAAGTGGGAGACTGTTAGATAAGCTGTCTAAGTCCATAACTATTTCTGGTATGTACTTGACCCGACCCGGCATGGTCCATTTGGGTTGCATGGCACCATGCAATTGGATAGACTAAATTAGAGAAATAACACTTGGAGATTATTAATATATTATAAGTTCTAATATATTAATAATATTATTTGATTAGTTTGATCAAGAATTAATTTAGAATTAATTAAGTGATCAAAAGATAACTAATTAAATATATGGGTTGATTATGTAAATCATCCATATCTTGTATAGTGGGCTAAGAGGCTCCATGGATTATCAAGTTGGGTTCTACCCATAGGATGCTCCATGGGAGTTACAAACCCATGGGTCATGGAAATGAAGAGTCATGACACATTAGGGTTTACATGGTGTAACCCTAGATGTGCCAACACTATATAAGAATCCCATTCTCCACCAAAATCGGCTACACATATGAAACAAGAGGGCTAGGCCAATTTTAAGAAGTGTGTATTCTCTCAAAAGTCTTTCCAAGAGCATTTGGTGTTGTATGAAGCATTTGAGGCATCAAACTTGGGGTGCTAGGCTCACAAGGTTTTAAGGAACATAAGCAACAACAAGGTAAGTTATTCTATCTTTCATTCAAGTTAAAAATTGTTCCCCATGTATGCTAGATAGGAATATAACCTTGGAATTCAACTTTACATGATAATTAGATAAACATAGATCCAAGGTTATTAGGGTTGCATGTACACTTAGGAAGTGTTAGAATGCTCAAAACCCATCAAAAGAGTCCTACAACAATGAGCAAGAAAACTCTATAGGAAATAAGGCATCATACATCAGCTAGTTCTATCATGCAACTCCTAAAGATCGCTATTCTACAACTAGCATGTTGTTCAAATCATAACATAACATCAAATAACATTGTAGGTAACTTGGGGTATACTTTTTTGATCCAGCTGATTGTACACATCACATCCTTCCTTGGTTACTTTTTAAAACAATTTTGAAAACCAGTTTAAAAATTTTTGTAGTTCCCTAGTTTGATTACGGACTCATACGAACGTTCATCCAATTCTCTCAAACCAAGGCTCTGATACCAACTTTTAACACTCCAAAAATAACAATAAATTTAAAGTTTTCAAAACCAACCATGAATCAATATTGTTTACAAAAGAGTCATTGTTTCAAAAAGCATTAATTTAAATAAGAGTTTTCCGAAGACCCGAAGACATAAAAATAGCAAGGTTGTGTACGATCACGCATTCGCCTTCCCACGATCCTCGGAAGTACCTGAAACCATAAACTAAAATGTAAGCTAAACCCTAGTGAGTTACCCCAAAGTACCAACACACCACAAAAAACAAGCATACAATATGAACATCCAACCTGATTGGACTACCTTGTAGGGCCTACAGCCTACCTAGACCGCTCTACGAGACTTCGGCATGACTGGACCGCCTCGCAGGGCCTTCAGCCTATCTGAACTGCTCCACAGCCTGTTGGACTGACTGGACAACCTCGCATGGCCTACAACCTATCCAGTCGTCCCCTGGTGTCTTGGCTTACAGCATATAGTATGACCGCCTTAACCCAACACAATATGACGACATATACATCAAATAAACATAAACATAGAGCCATCAAATACATATAGTTATAAGAATCTACTAAACAGCTACAACTAGCATAAAACTATCGTAACCAGGATAAATAATCTAGTGGGCCGACATTGGTGCCTTCGACCCACGAGTATAGCGAGGAAAACTCACCTCTCGGTCTGAACGATAGCTGATAAGGTCTCAGCTCTAAATCTCAGCTCTACCCGTCACATATCCATCAACAATGAGTAATTATAAAACACAATCCAAAATACCCTTAGGTCAAACTTAGACAAAATCTTGGTGAAAGTCATCAATACTTAATGTCAAATATCCATCCTCACGTCGTGACTAGACCTTGGTCACGTCGTGATGGTCCACTCGGTCTGATTATAACTCGAATCGACCCAACCTAGCCAACTCAGTCAAAGAAATCACCTGAGCTGACACCACGACATGAGCACCCGCTCTCACGTCGTGAGCTCCAAGGGCCTTAATAGAAAACGAGGGTTACTCAAATCTCACGTCGTGAGATCTTATGTCTCATGTCGTGAGCACCATCTAAAGCTAAAAGTCACCATTTTAAGTACTTATTCCATTAAGTCCTCGAATCCATCTCACCCTGAAGTTAAAGGGGACTCCTAATGTCCATATTTATCCATATTTTTTTCCTTTATGGCCATGCTTGCACCACGCATGATCCAACCCACTCTATGTCAAAGTGAAGAAATATGCTTCTAACTCTCATGCATGCCTCTTATACCTCACCAACTTTCAAATCTGAACAATATGATGAGCAAGGAACTCTTAGAATCCACAAGGTTGCTAACTTTATGGATTTACTTCACTCAAGCATGCATAACATGAAGGAAAGTGGACAAAATTCTAGATCTACCCATGATATGTAATAAAGTTTGGATCTTTGATGCTTACAAAGGTCCAACAGCAAGAAGTGGCAATGATAATGTTGCTACTTTGCCCCCTCCACAAATAAATTACTCATTTCCTCTTCTTCTCTCATTCTGCAAGCTAGATATGGCACCAAAATAAGTAAGAACTTCAAGGATGATAAATGCCAGGGTTCACTGGGGCTTAAAGTGTGAGGTGGAGGGTGAACAACCCTAGCCCCCTCTTTCCTTTAAATACTAAAAACTAGGGTTTTGGTCCTCATACTGCTCTCACGTCGTGAGCCTCAAAATGATGCGCATATTAAAATTACTACTCACGACGTGACAAGCATTCTTCACGTCGTGAGAAGGGCCAAATTTGAAAACTTATAATTTAATAATAATAATAATAATAATAATAATAATAATAATATGCATCTGACTCGGGTGTTACGATTTTGAGCTTTCAAAATTCAACAAAAATCATGTTTTAAGTTGTTAGTATAACGTTTTTGAGATGTGATAACATTTTTGTTTTTAACAAGTAAATTATGTTATAAACAACTATTTTTAAGCCTAAAAAGAAAACTTCTTTTAGTCCAATAAAAAAATATCCCAAAATCAATGGGGGCGAGGAAACAAGGGCGGGTGCAGGGGATAATCCAGGAATTCGGCGATGGGGAGAGGGGTAGGGAGGCTGAAAATTTCGGGGGCGAGGGTGGGGGAATGTGGAAATTTTGGGGGTGGAGTGGGGGATGTAGTCATCGTCCCGTTTGACCCCGTTGGCATCCCTAGATATTCTATCTCATTCAACTTAACAATTAAACTATTGAATATTATTTTATTGTAGAAAATCACAGAGACCGAAAATGAAGGTATATCATATATTGATATACCATTAGTCATCCCAAAATGGATAAGTCTCACCGCGGTTTTGGACCTTACATTCATCGCAAGCGTTCAACGATATCAACATTAGTAGTTGTTGTCACGCACCCAAGTTTAAACTTCATGAGATACTAATAGTTCTATCTTTGACTTTTAGACCTTAAACCATTTGATTTCCTTTATTGAGATGAAAACGATCAGATATAGGCCTTTAAATCCGTCGAAGACTCATGAAAAAACATACACATGTATTTCTTGGGTTTGTTCTTGAAAACTCTAAAATTTTAAAAAAACATGTCCCGAATATGATGAACAAGATGTCATATTTATGGGTGTATGTATGTGTTCTTGAACACGAACCCAAAAAGTGAACACAACCCAAGAACATAAAATCGTTTTTAGATATGAAATTTTTCATGAAATCGTTTGGATATTTGAAGATCTATGTTCGAACCAAAAACGTTTCTGAAAATCCTTCCCAGATGAAACACACTTCATTAGATTTTTGGTCTTGTTTGAGTTCATGTTCATAAATGTATGTTCTTAACTTGAAGAGATGAAGATGAAGAACACACAAACACATGTTTGAGTTCATAAATGTATGTTCTTGAACTTGAACAGATGCACATGAAGAACACACAAACACATATTTGAGAACCCATATATTTATCTTTATCTACATTTGGTTGGTGATTTGTTGGAAATCTCATGTTAGCAGTCAATTCACCAAAGAAGATGAAAGAGAATCATTGAAACTTTTAACAACCAGTAATAATGATATTTTTTAAATATATATAAAAGTTTAAATGATAAATTATGTAAAAAAAAATTAACACAAACACCAATAATTTATTATTTTTAAGTTATTATCCCTTGCCAAAAGGAACTTCAAAAAAACAAAATAATGAAAATATTATTCTTTATTTTTTTTCTTTATTATTCTTTAAGTAAATTAGCACCAGCCGTCCCTATAAAATGAAAACCCCTCGTAATTTACTTTTTGGCGCCTTGAGTTTGAGCTTCTCCAGCAAGCTTCATTTGTCCTCCCATGTTCTTGCTCCTCTCGTTCTCTGCCGCATCTGGTTCTCACATGACACACCAACAATGGTACTCTCTCATTCTCCTGATTCTTACCAATTTCTTCAAATTAATTGTTTGGTATATCGTCTTTTTCGTCATTTGTGATTTGGGTTTTCGGTCCCTGTATACTGCATTGCAGCCAATAATCGAACTAGTGTTTTAATGCCGTTTCTAATTCTGGGAATCTTAACACTCGTGCTGTGAATTTCTTTTTCATTAAAAATTTCTATATACATTTTGTGTTTTACTGTTTTTGCTTCTAAAAGAGTTCTATTCGTTTTAGCTATACAACCCATTTTACACTCAATCTTGACGATGGTTTTAGTTCTTTATCTTCAAAATCTTTTGATTGTAGTTCATTTTGATCTTATTAAACTCGGTTCAAAATTTTATGCACAAAGTAAACATTCTGTCGAATTTGCAGTTGCTTTTTTGGGGGAGTGGTAATTAGGGTTTTTAATTGAGTGTCGATATAAAGTTTTCTTCACAATCTTACTTGATATTTCAACAACAATCTCTCAAACATCTTTCATTTTGCAGGTTTTCCATACTAAATTCTCACTTCAATCTTTCCTCAAACAAGTTCATAAACTCACACAAACCCAAAGAAACTCCATCACCCAAGTGGGATTCGGCCATTTACTCCAAATTCCATCTCATGTCCTAAGAAGAACCCAATTAATCGAATTAATGGAAACATGGAACAATGAAAGACAATCTTTTATATTCCCTCCTGGAGACATAACAATAACCCTCTTAGATGTAGTTTTAATCTTAGGACTCCGTGTTATTGGTCAACCTGTAATCCTAAAAGAAGACACACCATTAACAACCCTTGAGTTAGAATTCGGTGCTTCTATTCAAAACCGGTTTATTACCGTTGATTCACTTAAAGATAGGCTTGAGAGTCTTGGTGAGAGGGCAGATTCGTCTTTTGTTCGTGTGTTTTTGTTGTATTGTTTTGGAACTTTGCTTTTTACAAGTGGAAATGGGAAGGTGGATTCGAGGTATCTTTTGTTTCTTGAAGATTTGGATTATGTGAGTAGTTTTGCTTGGGGTGCAGCTGTTAGAGAAGATCTTCATGAGTGTTTAACACAATGGAAAAGTAAAAGAACAAATAGTGTTAGAGGGTGTCTTATTCTTCTTCAAGTAAAGTTTCTATTTAGTTCTCTTTAAATTTCTTGTAAATAGATGATCACTTAACTTTTCATGACAAGCTAATAAATTTTGTTTTAAATAGATATGGAGCTACGAACATATTGTTATCGGAAGGCCTAAATTACTAGATTGCCTCTCCACGTTTCCCCGTGTATGCCGATGGGAAAGCAGTGGTAGGCAATACCTTCCTATCAAATTTGAAGAATTAGACCATACTCAGGCATCTCTTTCTTTATCTCTCTCTTTTTCTTACTTTTATGGTTTAGGGTTTGGGGCAAATCCGTCATTTTTCATTTTGGTCTATTTGGTTTTAGATATTAAGGATTCTTGAACCAACTTCGGAGGAGATTCAAATTGATATAGTTAAGGAGATCCCACAAGTTAGTTTTCTCACCCTTCTAAGAAGCTTTTTTTTTGTTACATATGACAAGACAAAACAGATTGTACAGTATTTGACATGCGTTGAACTCAGACTGATGTCAGTAGGACAAAAGTTGAAATTACCTGTCCCTCCAAAAAAGGTGGGACACAGACTTGCTCTCGATCTTTTGTTTGTGCAAAAGATGTAAATGCCCTTTTTCATTTTCATCATCAAAATATGTAATTTACTTACCCTTTTTGTTATAAAATTTTGTGTTGATTTATTTTACTTTTAAAGGAATGGTATTTAAGAAGTGAAATTGGAACAATGGAGGAGCCGATTAATATAGAAAGTGAAAGATGTATGAAAATGGTGCGAGTGTACAATTTAGAACAAAAAGAAGAAGAAGAAGAAGAAGAACCAATGATGCAACAAAAATCTACCATTTTTGTTCTAAGCGATGTAAGTTTTAGTTTTATTTTATTTTTACTTTTTTTTTTATTAATTTCACATTGGGTTTAAAATTTCGGTTTAGAATTATTATTTAAATTCAAATATGCAAAAAAGTAGCTTTCTTACCGGTTTATGCAATCATGTTTCATTTTGCTACTAAAAAATAACCAATTTATGTTTGTATAAGTTAGTAAATGATCAAAAATTGCAATTTAAGTTAACAAACAAAAGTTAATAAGGAAAATCGGATTGTGTATACTATTGAGATTAAACAGGAAAGTTTACAAAATGGAGGGGGTGAAAGTGATATTTTACAAAGTTCAAAGTTAAGGGGGGGACAAAGTGACATTTAAAAAAGTAGAGAGGTGGAAAATGGCATTTTACAAAGTATTTTTAAAATAAGGGTGAAAGTGAAATTTCAAAAAGTATAGGGGCAAAAAGTATCATTATTCAAAGTAAAATAAAAAAAGCAAAGGGTGGAAAATGACATTCTTGAAAGTAGAGGGGTTGCAATTTTTGCCACCGACATTGCAAATTAATATATAGATGTAATTGTAATTTACCTATTTGATCAATTTTTACGAAATTACCATTTTGTTTTTTATTCATTTTGAATTTTTATTTCAATATAAGTGTGGCTTGTGTTTGTGCAAGGATGATGATTCAAATTCAATGAAGGATCTAAAAGAAGAAGTTCTTGAATTGAAGGCGATTGTAGAGGAGCAAAATAAAGAAAAGGAAGTTATGAAGAAGGAGATTGAAGAATTGAGAATATTAGTAGAAAAACTACAAAGTGATATTATGTTGAAGGAAAATTCTATTTCAGATATGAAGAATAAGATTGAAGAATCGAAGATATTGGTTGAAAAACTACAAAGTGAAGAAATGTTGGAGAATTCTATTTTAGAGTTGGAAAGAATTGTATCAGAATATGAGTTTGATTTATAGGCAAGTGTTGCTTCAAAGAGAAGGTTATTGTACAAGTTATAGTTAACGTTAGGACATTTAAGTGTATTGATTGACATTATATTGTTAGTTTTTAAATATATAATTCTAGTTTTAGAGTTTTTATGTTGTTTTAGAGCTAAGAAAGTAATTTTTTTTTTTTTAAATTCTAAATATGTTATCATTATCATTAATAATATAATTGATAGCTTATTTTATTTCCTTATTTTTATTAGTTTATTTTAGATTTTTAAATCTTTTTATCATTAATGCATTGTATTTTATTTATTTTTCTTTAGTATGGATCGTACCGGGTGCTTGTTATGTTGCATGAGATATTTTGTAGGTTTCTCGGTGCTTGTTGCGGTTGCGGGTTGATTGGAGACGGGCTTAGTGGGCTCCCGAGGCATTATTGGGCTTGGCGGAATCAAAGAGGAAGAATTGAGCCTTGAAAGTTATTGACTTGGATTATTTGGGCTTGTGAAGATGGATCATAAAATTCAAATTTTGAGCTTGGAGCATCCATTTGGTGGCTAAATGATGATTGGTGCATTTCAAATTACATGGACAAGGAGGGGGGACCAAAGGAATCTTTGGTAGTGGAAGAGTGGAGTGGCTTGGTGGACCAATAGCATTACAGCAACATTTGTGCGGGTGGAATTTCCGTCGCGCGGGTACCCGCGCAACTGCCCAGTTTGGGCATTTTGGTCATTTGGCTTGCCATAACCCTTAGGGATCAGATCTAGAGGCTCATTCACGATTTTCCACCATTGGAGACCTGCAAGAGGCGATTTTGGGAGCTAGAGATCATTTCCTTTCATCTTTCCAAATCTCAGGTAGTTTCTTTATGCAATTAGATTATTGTTCTTGTTACTTTGTTGCCATGAGTGGCTAATACTCTTATTTGGTTGACTTTGGCTGAAAACCAATGAATGTTTGTCGGTTTTGAAGGATTTATGTTGATTATCGATTTATTCCATGTTTATGATTCTAGTTTGCAATTCTTATGCTTATTTGATACTTTGATCATGAGCTTAGTATTTGATTGAGCAATAGTTGATTTATTTTCTTTGATTTTGCATTGGATCATTGAATTTATCTAGAACAAGGGCTTTATGATGGTAGAAATCATCTCTAGCTTATGAATCATATATCCTTTATGGATGTGTAAGCATTTGACATCCTCTAGGAATTGGGGATTCCTTCATTCTTAAGGCTAATTGATTTCTTAGGATTAATTGCTTCAATTGACCCTTGATCTTAATTAAGAAGGTGTGTTGTGGGCTTCCCCAACCTCCATACTACCTATGAGGAATCTTGGTATATCATGCTTCATGATTGCTATAACCAATTTGGGATAAAGGATAAGCTTTGTATTAGATCCTAATGATAAACACACAAATGTTCATTGTGTTGAATTGCCTTAGTTAACCAATTATTCACAATCTTTGAGCATCTCATCAACTTGTTTAATTGCAAGATTTTTAGTTATTCAAGTATTTTAGTTTTCAAGTAATCAAACACCCCCCCCCCCCCTTTATTTTAATTGTAGTTAGTTAGTTTAATTTCACTAGTTTTATTGAATTGCATTGGTGATTGAATACAACCATTTCCCCGAGGATCGATACCCCTTTTACCATTATATTACGTTTATTTAGCAATCAAAAGGTGTAATTTGCTTGGTGGGCTTGACATCCCGACCAATAATAATCAAGTAATGTGCACAAGAAAAAGGGATTTTTTCACTTAACTACCAAGCAAAGGAAAGTTTTCACATTTAAAGCTTTTAATTTACTCTTTTAAACCTAACATTTCATTATTACAAACACGGAAAATTGTAGCAGCCAAAAGCTAAATTCCTTAAATTTTCACCTTTTAGAAAACCTCTAACATCATCCTTCTCATTTAAATTAACGTTTGTTGAAACTCAACAATTAAATAAGCCCAAGTTTTAGATAATCCAAAACACTTATTTGTGTTGAAGCCCAAAGATGACTTATATCCAATAAGGCCCAAAAGAAGAAATTTGCAATGTTCATTAGATTCTTCTATACTTTTTTTATTTTTTTTTGAAAAGTTTCTATCAAAATTAGTGACTCATCCCTCATCTTTCGATCATTAACACCCAGATATGCGATTTAAAGTTCCAAGAAAGCTTTTTTTGATTGCACTTTCATACTAAAAGTAAAGGGTCTAAACATCTAATCTCAAATAGCGGGTGTTATATATTTGTCGAACAAAATATAACATACAAAAGATATGAAAATTGTGAGAGTTTCATACACAGGAGAGTTCAATTTATAATATCAACTTTGCAAAAATAATACTATGAAAGTTGGGTTTTAGCTATGGACACTTTTGGGACGCAACAAGGCTGTCACTATATGTCGCTCTACAGCAATGATCAGTCGTCACTAAAATAATTTGAAAATTTATATATGAATTTTGTTAACATTCGCAAAAGCCACAAATATAACAATTTAGAGGATTGACATAAATGTATTATGGAATGGAAAGAACTTTGCGGAGAAGAAACAAAATCAATTTCTATAAATTATTTCGTTTCACGAGAAAAAACAAATTCATGAATTTGGTAGACATTTTGTGATAGAATCTAGAACATGGCCATTGATATATGGTTTATACTTTTGGTAATTTTAAGTTAAATGAACATTGACTTAAATTAGAGGTGTTCCTCTATTCCCATCCAATGTTTTTAAATAGAATGTCTAATCCATCAAGTTTCCATCTAATGTATTTTATTTTTTTAATTAAAATATATAACTGTATATATTATTAATTTAATACTTTATGATAATTTAAATATTTTAATTTTTATTTTCGTCGGATAATAATTGAAATTGAGTGAATTCATCTTTTATTCGACAAATAATTGTAATTTAAGAACCAACTAATCCAATACACATATAAAGATTTCGAACCCACCTAATCAATAATGATCCAGTTACAAGTAAATGTAAGAACGTTAGAATGTTGGTTTCAATTAATTTTCGATCAGTTTAAGTTTAAATTAGATTGGTTAATTTCTTGACACGTAATTTAAATAACTTGTATGTCATGATCTATAAATCACATAAGAACATTTACTTCATGTTTTTGAAAGAGCAGACAATTATCCATATTCAATGAATTTCGCCTTCAGAAAGCTTTTTAAGTATTTTTAGATGGGACGGATGCCTACCCATCCCCGTACTTTGGATCATATATCATTTGTCATACCAAGCAAATAAATATTTTTAGTTTAATATCTTATTAGAAAAAAATGTTATAAATTCAATGATGAATCTAATCAAAAGTTAAATGAAACATGTTATGAAAATAATTAACAACATTGATGTAATTAAGAATATTCGATTGATTAAAAATTGCATTCCAAACTTTACTAATGAAAGTTACTAAAATATATTTTCAATTTTTCTAGCTTAAGTAAGGTTACTAGAACAAATTATTTGATGTTAATTGCTTTTTGTTTGAACTTTTTATTTGTTATGAGATATTAGCTATTTTAATTTTTATCCGGGCAAATTGTATAGAAGACATTTAGTTTACACAAAATTTTAATTTTTGATACTGTTTGTTTTCCTCAATTAAATCATTAAGTTTACAAATTTGTTGCAAATTTAACATATCGACCGGTTTGTTTCATGTGTTTCATCTTTGATATTTCTCATTTGTTGACTAAACATAAAGTCGATGTGATTTCAACATATTATCCTAATTGGCAAACATTTGTTTTAAATTAAACCCGTTACATACATCTGTACCTATTTTTTCTTATTTTTTCTTATTTTCTTCTATGAGAGTAGCACTGTGTAATTGATTCTCAAGATCACTCAGATGATTCATCATCTCAGAATGGTATAAGCAAGACAACGAAGGTTTCTTTTAGAAGATGTTATTGTGGACATCCTTTGTTGCCTTCTTTATCCTACGATGATGAACCGTTTGTACGACCTTAAAAATATATTGTACAAAACCTGTGGAAGTTATCATTTTTTTTTTGACCGTTATCAAATATCTAAAATCATACAACATAACAAACAACTTGATGTTATTTAATATGTCCAGTATCTCATTGATTATATAAAATAGATTAATTTAAGTATAGTATATAGGAAAAAAGTAAAGAAATCATATTTTAGACGTCTAAAATATATTTTCTTTTCTCTTTTTGTTACCTGAAGATAAAAAAAAATGGTTCAATAATAAGCGTAGTATCATTTTCGTGTAGATCCATCATCCATCATAAGAACTTTTCGGTCGACTAAGCTAAATATCTTTCCCATTATTTATTCTCTTCTAACAATTATTCTTTTTCCCATTTACCTTTTTGCTTAATACTTTACAATTTGAAGAGACAACTGATTATAAAATGAAAATTTTTATTTAATAATGGAGAGTTGAAGGTGGACGAGGAGGCTTACAGTGGATTGTCTTCTGGATCGATGACAATATCAATGATTTTAATCAATTTATTTATATAAATATCTATTTGTTATTAAAGTTTGTTTGTGATAAGCCTAACTCCTTGTTAGTGCCACTAATGAAATTATAATAATACTTTTTATCATGGTTTTAAGTTTTTTAAATGTTACTAACTTTGTATTGTTGCCAGTTTCATGATTTGGTTACAGGTTCCACGTATTAAACTCAATATATCATGGTTTTAAGTTGTTCCAAAAAAAAAAAAATCGATCAATCCCATTTACTCACAAAAGTTTGAAATTCATGACAAGTCAATAGCTACCGTTAGAGATAACGAAAACAGAGTCGTCAATGATGATTTATACGATTACCATGATTATACTAGCCTTTCGGAGTTTACAAAATGTTTTATTTAAATAGAAATCACTCTTAAGTTTCTCTGATATAATTTTCGAGTCAAGTAATTTTTTTTTCTCGACAATCTTTACTCTTTAATTTCATATACGATTTTGTCTTACACCGTTCAGGTTTACAATTTTAAATTTATCTTCTGAAATTCAATTTGGTGTCTTGGTTGATTGGATAAGATTTATTGTTAAATTTAAATTCCTTTTATGAAGCTTAGTTAGTTA